ATGTCACACTCTGAGGGGTCATATATGTTAGAATCATTATAGTTAAGATTATGGTGCAATAAGTGAATTGACAATTTTGTAAGCTAATTTCCATTATAGAAAATCTAATAGATTAAATTTCAATGATAAATTGTTTAAAATGAAAATATCAATAAAAAGATAAATAAAAACTGTCAGTACAATTAAAAGAAGATTGTAAAATACTGAATTTCATCCAAGATTACATAATATGTTTTGAATACTAATATACTTCAAACTCAATTAATTTGATAAATGTTACTACATCTTTTTCTCTTAGAGCCTATTTGGCCTAACTTTTGTTTAGCTATGAAGCTTTTATGAAAATTAATAGCTTTTAAATTTAAGCTAAAACTATTTAGCAAAATAAATAATATAATTTTTAATTTTAGCTAAAATTACCATAAAAGATATTCATACTATGATACCCCACATCCCACATCTGATGTGAATATGATTGTTAAGACCTACATAACAATGCAAGTCCATTACTATTAGTAACTTAAGCTTGAGCTTTTGTGGGCCACATGATTTGGCCAAAAAAGTTATTAGGTCAGTACTTGGACTTGGGTCATTACAAATGTTATCAAAGCCTGCGCCAATTCGATGTGGGCTTCCACATTGCTTTGTTAAGATTTTGGTCCTATAGATGATTTGTGGTCTTGATAAGGACATCAAAGATTTTAGTGGGTGGGATTGTAATACCCCACATCCCTTATCTAATATAAATGTGATTGTTAAGACTTATATAACAATCCAAGTCCATTGCTACTATCGACTTTAGCTTGAGCTTTTGAGGGTCACATGGTTTAGACCTAAAAAGTTACTGGGCAGATGCTTGGACTTGGATCGTTACACATGCCATCTTCAATCATCTAATAAACCAAAGCAGAACAAATTTGATTCAAGTTTATATACGATTTTAGATGTTAAAATCAAACAAATTCGTAAAAAAACAGAATAACTCTCAAACTTATATAGTAGTAAAAGTATTAGATTTTTGTTGATCTAACAAGAAATCGGACCATGATGCTTCAGTTCCCCAAGAAAGAAAAGAACAAAGGAAATAATGTATTTGACATTAAAATCTTTTTTAGTGAAGAAAGGAGAAAACCTTTAAATAGTATCTTAATATAGCTTTGAATTTTAAGTCTTCTTTTCTCTTAATCCTTGTAAGAAAAAAAATCCTAGATTTTACTGTTCTATTGTTGTATCTTTTATTTTTTTTAATATTATTGGTAGAGAGAGGTAGAGGAGAAGGAGATCATGATTTGCATTGAAAAAAGGTGATTTGCAAAGGGAAGGAAAGATAAGAAAGGGAGGTTGATTGAGAAGGAGGAGGTATTTCCTAAAAAACTAGCATGTTTTTAAAAGAAAAGAAGAGAAAGCTCTTCTCTATAATTTTTCTTTAAGCTCTATTTTTTAAATTTTGTTCTTTAATTTTTAAGAGCTTGTTAAAAATTTTGTTTGGCTTAACTTCTATTTTAAGAGGTAGATAAGTAGAAAAAAAGTTAGGCCAAACAAGCACTTAATTTGCTTCTATTTGTTCATTGACTTATTTTATTTATATTAATAAAAAACTAACTTGGGTTGCCATTTGCATTTTATTTAGGCCAAAGTCCAACATTTAAAGATGACACCACTGGAAAGAAAAAATTATCTATAATCTATCATATAAGAATACACATGTTGAATTTCTTCAAAAAAAATACAAGTGTTGAAAATTTTTCTCATGGACTAAGTTTTTCATATTTTAAAATTGCTATATTAAAGTTTATAAATATTAATAAAATTTATACAATTTATAAATGAAAATTTTAATTGCATTAAATGATTATTATTTAAATTTTTTTATTATAAATATTAATAAAATTTAACTAATTTGTAAATAAAATCTAATTACATTGAATGACTTTCATTAAAAATATTTTTTTATTCTGATAATCACTACAACAAATTTGACTTAAGACAATACATTTTTAAAATGTGCTACTAAAAATTTTTTTAATAACACTTTTTTTATATTTTCTTGAACATTTTTGTATATCTAACTTCCCTATATAAATTTTTAGATATATTATGAATAAAATGTAATGATAAAAATTACATACACTAGCCAAAGTTATACCTTTTTATATTGTTATTAAATGTGAAAAAAGTGAAATAAAAAATTTAAAACGCTGCACTTTTTAAAATTTTACTATACAAAAAAATATGTAGTCCAAAGAAATGTTATTAAAACTCAAACTTTTTATAGTGAATATTGAATAATTTATAAATTAATATTATAAAATGTTAATTAATTACATTTTATATTTTATACTTTTAAAATTATTTATATTTATATAATTATTATTTAAAAATAAATAAAAAATTCCACTATCTAATACTTTTTTCTGACCTGGGTGGGATCTGTCAGATTTAAGTTTTAAAGGACGTAACTGAAAAACATTTTCAATTCGAAATATTAAAAATTTTTGCCATTTTGCTTCCAATGTGGGATTGTCTCGTTTTAGGTCACCAAAGTTGGCTTCCATGACTAACAATTTTGAAACGCTTCAACTTATGATTAGAGGAAGGAGTGCCATGTACTTATCATTTCACTCTAACTCTCTCTATTGGATTATGCAATTTACCCTATGTTTGGTAAGTAGGAAGGAAAATAGAGGCAACGGGAAAAGGAGAGGCAAAAAAAAAAAAAAACTAGAGGGGAAAGATAATTGTTTTCCTTACAGTATTGTACATGAAAAAAAAAAAAAAAAAAGACCATGGTAACATTATATATAAAAAATACAATGTTTGAAAAAAAAAACTTTTCAAATTATTAAAAATTGAAATAAATTCTTATTTATTTATTAATGACGGTAAGTTTATTAGGAAGAGTCATACCAAGAAAGGTGAGGACTCCATCCAAAGTTCAATGTACAAACAAGACTCAAAAATCAAATTGCCTAGAAAGGCAAAGAAAGTAGTACACAAAATAGGATTTTATTCATCTATTATATTCAATTAAATTTTTATATTTTTATTTTAAATTAAATAACATCTTATAATTAATATGGATTAATTATCATTTTTTACAATGTTAATTGAATGTTTAATTTAAGTAGATTTTTCTTTCGGTAAGGATTAGATTTAGAGGAAAAACAAAGACACAAATTCATCTATTTTTCTTCTCCTCTTCTTTTCCTCCTACCAAACAAAGGAATTCAAAAAAAAAAAACAGTCTTTCTTCCACTCCCTTCGTTCCTCTTTCTCTCTTTGAAGCTAGGTTGAAGTGCTTAGGTTTGAATTTCAGAATCCAAGTAAAAACGAGTAATAGGGAGATAGAAAAATTTTTATATTATTATGGAATAGAAACTGAATCAATGAACTTAAGAAAAAACAGAAAGCTAGAATAACATTTTGATAAATAAATCAGCTGATGAAGAAAAAAGTCATATAGATCAGGAAAGGAAAAATATTTTAAGGAATCAGCGGTTGAAAACAATGATAGCATCAAGAACTAAGTGCTGCCTCCGACGGTGAAGTTGAGATGAGCTTCCTTCTCATTTACTTGATAGGAGAGTGTAGTTGCGTCACTGTGCCACATGATGCCGTATTGCTTGTGTTACAAACATTGACTTGACAAAGGTTGACGACCACGTCTCTCTGGGATTCATTGGATTAAGTCGGTGATTTCCCAGGAGCAGAACATTTATCTTTGCTTTGCTTTTTCTATACGCAACACTTGACAATTTCTTTCGCATTTGGCAAAAGAGTGTTGCATGCCAGAACTTTAGGTCATCATCATTGTTCAAGACACCATGACCCACACTTAGAGATTAGGTTCACCAACCCCACTCCTTTTCCCCCTTTATTTCCTGCTTTTCCTCTGGAAAAAGAAAATGAAATAATGCTGTTTTGAAAAGTATATCAATCGAAAACCCAAGACGTTGAGGTGTCGGACGTACTCAGTTTGCAGCAAAATTTGAGAGAGATGAATATTGGAAAATTTGGCATTTTACATTTCTTGAGTGCCTAAGGTCCACTAATTTGGCTTTACAACTGTGACAGCAAAGGCTTTAACCCCAAATTAGTTGCCAATTTTATGTCTCCTCACTTGCAAAGCCAGTTAAAATTTCATAGAGAAAATGAATTTCCATCCATGGACCCCCTTTTCCTTGTCAAATCATCAAGTTTTAAATTTTTTATTAATTATTTTGCACAAGCAAAACCTTAACAATTGTACCATCCCTTCAAATATATCAAATTCCAACTAAAATTGTATTTTTTTAAAATAATAAATTTAATTTTTCTGTTTTGATTTCTTTTTTTAGGTAACAAATTATTCTTAGTATAAGTGGTAATTGAGTGGGATGAGTTCATTTTGACTTTGGATCAAGTTATATCACACGTCTTATCAAGTCGCATGATGTTTGGTAGATTAAATCATTTTCGTGCTCGACTTATTTCATTTATTGAGTCCTTGAAATTTCAACTAATTTCAGATCAAATTGTTTTGAATTTGAGTTAATGTACAGATTGAGTGGTTTCAAAACTTGAATTTAAAAACAAAATAATTTTTTGTGTATAATTTTTCAAAACATAGTTATTTTTATACATTCAAATATTTAATTTATTAATTAAAATATAATCTTTTTATTTAAAAAGTAAACTTCAAACATTTTTCTTTCCGGGAAGCGAAATAAGAAGTCGGAAGCAAAATTGCCTTTTTATATTGATGTAATATAATGAAGGAATTCGACGGGGGAAAACAATAGAGCTTGATTCAGAGCTGCCAAGCAACCCACCTCCACAAAGACTGTCCAGTCAATGCCAAAATGCCATACGCAAAAATTTCAAAACGTGTATATAAAGTGGATTGACTAATTTACTCCTACTCAATTAGTCCTTTTTGGGGTTGGTAACTTAAAATAACACTAAAAACAATACAAAAATGCAATTCTAGAAGACTGCTTGATCACTATATAAATAAGCATAAAACAGGGGTAGCCCTGTATTTCGACACTCCATTGTCTCCAAGTATACACATATATAGGGGAAAGGTTGGACGGCAGAGTAGAATTCTCCCATGGCTAGACTATTTCCAACCCTATGTTCCCAATTCTTCTTTTGCATTTTCATCATCTTGGCTGCAGCAGATGATGAGAGTTTTGTGAGAAGCATGGACAGGAAGCTTTTGGGGCTGAAGAAGGAAAAGCTTAGCCATTTCAGGCTTTACTGGCATGACATTGTTGGAGGGCAAAACCCAACAGCAGTCAGAGTGGTTCCACCGTCAAGCAATTCATCAACAGCCTTCGGGTTGATCAGTGTGATCGACGACCCTTTGACTATGGGGCCCAAATTAAGCTCGAAAATGGTAGGCAGGGCGCAAGGGTTTTACACCTCAGCATCCCAGCAAGAACTTGGGTTGATGATGGCCATGAATTTTGCTTTCATGGAAGGAAAATACAACGGGAGCACCATAACAATACTAGGGAGGAACATTGTGTTCTCAAAAGTGAGGGAGATGCCCGTGATTGGAGGGAGTGGGCTTTTCAGGTTTGCCAGAGGCTATGTTCAGGCCAAAACTCACTGGTTGAATCTTACCACTGGGGATGCGGTGGTGGAGTACAACTGTTATGTGATGCATTATTGATGCTTTTCTTGGAAATCTTTCAAAGTTTAGGCCATTTTTGCTTGTTATTAGTTCCTTTGGGGTAATGGGCTTTGAATCGTGTTTTCCACTTGTAATTTAATAATCTGCTGTGGAGTTATGTACTATTAATAAAATATTTAGCTTGGGAGACCTGTGCTCTGATTTAGACATTTCCAGATTTGTCCAAGACATTGAATTCCACGAGGCCCATATTAATTGGTGACAACCACACACATGATTGACTTAACGACGGCGACCTGTAACGATCCAGAAAATAAAGACAAGGGACGACTGCCTTGTCTCGTTGTAAGAACAAACTTTTCAAAGCCTGATTCAGCCTGCTTACTCCTTATGTTTTTTAACCACTAAACCTTAATATTAGCCCAATATGTTGGATTTGGGCTTGGACTATTACTCCAAAATGTCTCGAGATGATTTTTCCTTCTGTTTCTACAAAGACAGCCTGCGATTGAACACAACTGTATCATAAGTTAGATTCAGATCGTATTTCAAAGAACAAAAAAAATCCTACACAGGCAAGATTGCCCCTTCTCGATATAAAAGACAATTATGGCTAACTTGTATGCCCTTGGCGATTCCAACAAAGGTAGCCTTGTGACACATAATACTAACGGCACATTTAGTTTGTATAATGGAATAGAATAAAATAAAAAGAGAATATAATAGAATTGTTATTATGTAATTTGGTTCATGGGATAGAATGTGATAGGAATTTTTATCATAACTCATTTTGATATTTGATTGGTATGATTAGTTTTGGAATAATCAAGAAATAAATGATAAAATGACAAAATTACCTTTTATTATAATTTAGTAAACTATACAATATCACTCATTAGTATCATTTAATAATATTTTCCCCTTTTTTAATCTTTTAATTTTTATTTTCATTAAAACTTTAAAATATTAATAATTTATATTTCAATTATGAATATGATTTTTTATTTCAATTTCTTTTTATTTTTTCCTCTATTTGTATTCTCATTTTTTAATCTTTTAATTTCTATTTTCATTAAAAATTTAAACATTAATAATTTATTATTAAATTATTAATATAATTTTTTATTTTAATTTCTTTTTACTTTTTTATTTTTATTTTCCATTTGTAAGTTGTAATTATTTTCAAGGACTTTTTTTATTATTTTGGGATTATAATTATTTTTTAATATTATCTATGCTAGAGAATTATGTTCCTAGGCTATGCTTTCTTGAATTCACATGCTATGGTTGTTATACATTTTGGTCAAATTCGTAATTTAAATCCTTTACACTATTAAAATATGAATTTAATCACTCTATTATAATTCGTATAAATATAGTCCTAATTTTAATATTTGTTAATCCTAACCCAATCATTCTCACTGCCAAATTTTTTCGTTACAATTAGGATTGTGGTATTGATTACGCTGATGTAAAAGTTTAAGGGAATTATAAAAATAAAAAAAAATAGTGTGGCCTTTTAGGTTGCCATGTGGCATGTTTTGGCCCACCTAATCAGACCCCATCAACTTTTTTACACTCTAATTTGCATTAACAAGAAAAATATCAAAACATATTGAAAAAAATTATACTAGAACTAATCCAACACTTTGATAAAGTATATAAATTAAATTCAAAATTTGATCTAAAATCTATGTATAGCATCAAAACAGAATTTCAACAATGATCTTTAGCAAACATACTTTTGTCACAACCTTAACAAATTCACCTTCATCCTGAGCCTTGATAACCTCACTTGGAGTAGGAAATGCAATAATTTGCACTAGGAAGTTGATTAAATTTAGAATTTAACCTTAACAAATTTTGAAAAACTTTAGAATTTAACCTAAGTCCACATATCCTTGGCAACCACAGTCTTGTCACAATCTTAACGATACGACTTTTGGATTTCTCTCTTGATTAGTTTAGGATTTATTTAAGTTAATTTTAATTAGTTTAGGATTTAGTGTGTATTTTGGATTTTTAACCGATTAGGTGACAATAAACGCCACGTGGTCATGACCTTAAAAACCACGTCACATTTTTTGCATTTTTAAAATCCCAAAAATTTCATGTCAATATCGATTAACACCACGACAATGCATGATCAATGTCATGTCAGTATGTTTAACAGAACTTTACAATGTCAATGATTGGACTAATATTAACATTAATTAATATTAACAAATTTTACATTATAAATTATAATTGAATGACTTAATCCAACAATTTGGTAGAATATATGAACTAAATTCAGAAGTAGACTATATTTTTGATTGATAATATGACCTCCAGTTGCTTACTGTACCATATAAATGTTATATACGTACTATCTAGGAGCTAGGAGATTTTTTTTTAATTTTTTTTCTTATTGTTGTTTGGGTCGCTAGACATTAGTAGTAATCAAGTTCTGCTTTGACAAAATTGAGTCCTATCATCATTTCATTTTTGTACCTTGTGGACCAATCTTTGTGTGGTATGATCGAGGTTAAGTTCTTTCTAAGCGGTTTAGTCGCTCTTTTGAGTTCTTAGACTCATTAATAAATAATATGTATAATATTTAAAAAAATTTTAAATTATTTAAAAAATTTAAATAAGTTTTTATATTTTTATTATATTTATTTAAATTTTTATATTTTTATTGAGTTAAATAGGTTTTTATGACTAATGATTAATTTAATTAAAATATAATTTGTCATTTTATGCTAAGTGATATTGATGTAATGTGTTAAGATATTATAATTGACGATGATGTGATATATTGAAATATTATAATTAATGATGATATGACATATTAATTTGATATGATAACATGATCATATAATATTTTTCAGTTTTTATATCAACGTCATGTTATTGTCACGTGGATATAAAATAATAAATAACATTTTGATTAATGATAATTAATCAATCATTAGTCATAAAAGAATAAAAACTTATTTGATTCAATATAAAAGTACAGAGACTTGATTGAATATAATATATAGATAAAGACTTATTTAAAATTTTTTAAATAATTTATAGATTTTTATGAACATTATGCTTAAAAATAATGATTCTTTTACTTTTTCATCGAAAATGTAATATTTTAGTGATGTATTCTATCAAGGCCTAAGTGCTAGGGACCGATCTTTTAATCTTTTTCTTTGATTGAATTATAATCAAGAAAATCATATTTGATTCAATTAATCTTTTTATTTCCTTTTTTAACCACACAATCAAAAGCAATCCGATATAAGGGAAAGCAATGCAGTTTGGTTTTGATTGCGACCTTAGTTGATAAAATGTCTTAGAGTGGAGGTCCATAAAAGTCATGTTAGGTGAAAAATGGCTAATCAGAGCTTACCAAATGGTAAATGAAATAGGGAAATCAATTAATCAATGAGATCAAATGCTGACAAAGCTTTTGGTGGGTTATGGCCTCATGGGGATTTTCAATTTGTGGTTATCATCTATATTTGATTTTACATCTTTTTAACTAAAGTGGGTCCAATTCCCCCTAATGTCAATTAGCTGCATTACAAGATGGAGATGTTGAATTTTTTTGAATTTATAGATAGTGGAAACGTGACAGCTTTTTAATTTTAGTCTAATATGTATTTAATTTAAACTTTTCAACTTTAAAGTAATTTTCTTATTCAGCGGTAATGTGACATATTTTTCATATTTGGTTCATTAATAGTGTATGAAATCTATACACTAATAATAGAGTATTATATTAAATTTGATATAGAATAAATTATACTTAATTTGAGATCTTCTAATTGAAATTTAAGATACACAAAATCTTAATTGATTTTGATCCATCACTTTGGGAACAAAAATATTACTAGTCAAATTAATTGTTAGGATTTACTGCACTAAGATCTTCTTCTTCTTTAATCTACGTACAATTAGACCAGATAATTCATGTTTACATGTTTTAATTATGCCATGTAAACATAATATATTAGTAATTATATGGATAAATACATATATGACATAATTAGTTAAATGTATAGGATTCTAAATATGAATACAGATATATTTATAAAACATATAACATGACATGACATGGCTAAAGCATTTATTAAATGGGTCAAGTTAAGTTTTATATGACACAACACGATTTATAATCCGTTTAAATTAACATGATTAAAATTTTAAACATGATTAACATGATTAAAATTTTAAACATGATTAACATGATTAAAAAAAATTCAATACAATTACATATGAGATATAACTTCTTTATTCAAATTTAAAATTAATAATCATAAAAATAATTATAGCAAAACAATAATATCCATTAAACATAATAAAATCCACCTTCATCATCAACCATAATAAAATCCATCACACTATTATCAACCATAATAAGATAAAGTAGTTATGTAGAGATTCAAACAAGTCATAACTAGGTTATTAACATGTCAAGTAAACACATTTACATGATTAGTTAAATGGGTTACGAGTTATACAAATACATGATGACAAGATAATCAAATGAGGTTTCAATTAAATTAGATTCATGTACAACAAGAGCCAAATAATTACTTTCATGCCCACATTTCTCTAACCAAATTTTATATTTGAGACAATCTTGTTTCTTATGTCCCTTCTTCTTGCAAAAGAAACATTTAATTTGCTTCTTAAGGACAAATTTTAGACCTCCTACATTGAAAAATTGACCAAATTCTTTCATTTTATCTTGAACTTGTTTAGGAGCATTAACTTTAGATTTGGTACCTTTCTTGTGATGAGTTTTTTTAACAAGAAAGGTATTGTTGGTTTTTCCAAATTTTTTTGTTTGTAAATGGACCATTTTAATGATGTACTTTTGAATTCCTTCTATTAGACTAGCAATTTTTGTTCGTGTATATTAACCTTGTTGTGTAAATATAGGGTATTAACAGTTACACAAGTAAACATGAAAATGACACAATTAATTAAATATGTTAGAATCATAAAATACGAATACAGATATGTCTATTAAATATGTAACATGACACGCCACACTTAACATATTTATTAATTCAGTCAGGTCACGATTTGTAACTTATTTATACAATTAACATGATTAAGACAATTAAACTAAAATGCATACAATTTAGAATGAAATATAACTTCATTATTTAAATATAAAACTAATAATCATAGTAGCAATTATAATAAAACAAAAATATCCA